CACCACCTGTTTTTTCTTGGGTGGTACTTAGCATTTCTCTAACTATTCTGCATACTTCTAGCTTCAGGTCATTGATAACTTCATTCCTGAATTGGTCTATGAGGCTCTCTATATGGTGCCTTATGTGTATTGGTGTGGTGTCTGCTATTGCCTGTTTCTCAGAATTGGGGGCCGAGGAGCCTTTCTTGTTGCTGCCTCTTCCCATGCTGCCTCTTCTTCTCTGTTCCTTATATATGCAAGCTTATATAAGAGGCCCAGCTTCTCTCCCAGTCAGCCACAGCCTGATTGAATTGCGCCAGTTAGTTGTTCCCACTCACCGCTGTGCAGCAGGGAGTTACGGACCAGGCAGCCTACGCGTCTCCCCTCCCGGCCACCGTCAGGCTCTGGGATCTGGTTTGGGCCAGCCTACCAGGTCCGCCGGCAGCATCACGCAGGCCAGGCACTTTTCACCAATCCCGCCCGAGAGGGGGATGTGTGGCTGGAGTCCCACCGCGCCCTGCTCCCGCAGGACTGCTGGAGCCCAGAAAGTCCTCTGCTGGAGTCAAACTGTGGTAGAGTGTCAGTTTCTCTCACTCACCTCACAAGTCAGTGCACACCTCCCTGCCATTCGCAGATTGCCGTTCTCAGAGCTTCCGCGCGTCTCTCTCCTTGCTGAGCCGCTGTAGAGGCAGCCAGCCGCCGCGCGGCGGGAAACCCAAATCGCGGCTTACAATGGCGCGGTTCCAGCCTCCACACCGAGTCTTTTCTGTTCCTGTTTTAGCACCAGGACTGCATTCCAAGTTGGCTTCTCTCAGCCCAGTTCGTTCCTGAGTCAGCAGAGCATATCTCCACCGACTTATGTCTCCTTAGTCCGCACCATTCCTGGCTTCTGAGCCGAGTCTTTCAGAGAGCCTCCGGTAGTTGCTGTTATCTGTCCGCCATGTTCTCCCGGAAGTCTCTATTGGGTCCCTTTTTTTCTCCCTCTGTTAATTTCTCCCTTTGCCTGGTATGGATTTATTCTTTTGGGGTTCATAGAGTTGTGATTCTCATTATGTCTTTCTAAAATGTCCTTTTGAATAATTTGGGATGTTGACATGGTGGTCAAAAATTTCTTCAGGTGTTCTTTGTCATAGAAGTATCTTATTTTCTCATCATTTTTTTTTCTGTCCTGAATTCAAAATAATCCTCTTGCTGCAGCTGCTGAATGCTGAGAGTACAGGCCTGCATCACTATTTCAATTTGAAAGATAGTTTTGTGGGGTATCAATCTGGACTAGAGGCTGATTTCCTTTAAGGCTTGAAATATTTCCTTGCAAGCTCTTCTTAACTTGAGAGTTAGTGTTGAGAAGTCTGCTGTGATTCTAATAGGCTTTCCTTTATAGGTGATTTGTTTCTTTTCTCTGACAGCTTTTAGTATTCTGTTCTTGTGTTGACTTTCTGGAGTCTTCACTATTATGTTTTGGTATAATTTTTTTCTGATCACAAGTTTTTGGGTTCTATATACCTCACTTATCTGTATCTCAAATTCTTGTATTCTTCTTGGAAGGTTTTCTGCTATTACTTCCGTGAACAGGTTTTTTTTATGCCTTTTTTGCTATCTTCTGATTCTTCACTGAGTCCAGTTAAACTCATGTTAGTCATCTTTGCATCATCTAGGAACTGTTGGATTGATTTTTTTCATGGTCATTTGTTATTTTCAAGAGATTTATTCACTTTGATAATTACCAACCACAAGCCTGTCTTCTGGATCTGCTGTTCTGTCCTCACCTTGGGTGACTTGCTTTTCAATATTTCTTATGGGCCCAGCAGGCTTTCCGTAGAGAAATAGCAGGAGGTTACAATGGCATGAGGGTTAATTAGAGGCGGAATCCCTTCAATGCTAGCAGTGTGGCCAGTTAACTGGCAGAAGGCACAGAGTCAGACTGGGTCTTAAGAAGGTTAATCTGGGCTGGGAAATAGTTCGGGGTAGATCACTTGCCTTGGGCATGAGGTTCTGAGTTTCACACCTAGCACTTCAAAAAGGAATAGAAGTTAATTTGGCAGCTGTGGACCTAGAGAAGAAGCTATTTAGAGATAAGGAGCAGTCAGAAGCCTATTAGAGATGCATAGATAAGAATAATGAGAACTTGCTTCAGGATGGTAGCAAAAGGCAGACATGGGGAAAGGCCCTGTGGAGACAGAAACCCTGTGCCTTGGTGATTAATGGGAAAGGGGAGAAGTGAAAGGTGACGGTAATAGGCTTAACACAAAATGGAAATGAAGAGTGGCTTGGAGAGGGAAATGATGAATTATACCCTGGACATTGCATTGATGGTATTACTGCCAGCAGATTATCGTGGAATTTAGCAGCACAAGACAACAAACACTTACTACCTCTCACCTGTTACCAAGAGTTGGGAGCCTAGGAGCAGCTAACTGTGTATCCTCCCATAGGGCTGAAGTGAAGTGTCAGCCACACAGTTACCTAAGGTTTGGCTCGGGCTGGAAGATTTGCTTGTAAAATATCTTGTTCACATAGCTGTTGGCTGGAGAGTAGTTTATTGGAGACCATTGGCAGGAGACCTCACTGGGCTGCTGGAGGATTCTGGCAGCTGACTTCCTCTCCCATCAAGGGATCTAAAATATGAAGAGACTGCAGTGCATCTAGTCTTGGACATCACACATCATCTTTTTGCCATAATTTACTCATTTGAAATGAGATACTGAATCTAGCTATTAGTTTAAGGACATGTTAGACTTCTCCTTTGGAAGGGAGCGATGTTGAAAATTTGTGGACGTATTTTAAAACCATCATAGAGTGTGTTTCGAGAACAAATGGAATGAGCATTCAGTGCAAACGTCCAGAGAAACTGGAAGTCTAGAAAGCCACATTACCTACGTGTGAAAGTAGGTCACAGCAGAAGTATTGAGACTGGAGAATTCTCAAGGCAAGTGCCTTTATCTGATTATCTCTCAACCAGTCTCAATAATGGTTACTATTCCCGTTTCTAGATTTTATAATTCCAGTTATTTAAACCTTTTCTGAGAAGTTTCCACTTTTAGCCAGCCATGGTGGTACACCCCTGTAATCCCAAGGTTAGGGAGGCTGAAGCAGGAGGATTGTTGAGAGTTCGAGGCCAGCCTGGACTACAAACTGAGATCCTGTCTCAAAAAAAAGTTCCCAGGTTTAATCTGTATTTTTTTTCTCCAAAGCTTCTCATTATGGAAAATTTCAAATTTATAAAAAAGTTGAAGATTTATAATGAATTTCTATATGCCCACTGTCTAAATACAATAATTGTTACATTTTGTCTTATTAGGGTCATCTATCAATTTTTTCTAAGCCTTTTATCAGGCAATATTCTTTTATATAGAAGTTTTCTCTGGACCTTGGAATAAAATGTAGATCTTCTCAAAAAGGTAGGGCTTAGGCTTTTAACTCTTAATACCTTAGTTACTAAATTTCAGAGAAAGAAACTGATATAATAATTTTCAGTGCTGACAAAGAATTTTTAACAGTTTCTTTTATGGAGGGAAGGCTCATAGTCTAAAGGCAAAAACAGCTGGATATGCTGGTGCACCTTGTAATCCTGGCACTTGGGAAGTTAAGGCAAGAGAATTATTGTGAGTTTGAGACCAGTCTCAGCTAACTACAGAGTGAGCTCAAGTGAACTGCTTAGCAAGACTGTCCCAAAAAGACAATAAATAAATGACAAAAACATATGTAGTTTGTTATGTATTGCCCCAAACCCCTAAAAGTCAAACCATTTATCTTGCCTACCACAGTTGTGTGCAGTCTCTGCAGCCTGTGCAAAAACTGTGTGTTGTCAGATAGTGAGTTTGCTAAGTGATGAGTGGTACAGATGAGGTTGAGCATCTTTTTGTATTTGTTTAAGTTCTGAGTCTTTGACTTATTTTTCTAATGGAGTTTTGGTCTCCATCTTAATCTAAGCATTCTACTCCTGTAATAGGGAAATTAGCCCTTTGTTTCTAATATAATTTGAAAACCCCTCTTTCCATTGTTGACTGGTCGCTCCAGGATGGTCTGGAGTTGCTGAGTTAGCACCAAAGGCCCCTCCACATCACCGGCAGGCAGCTGGCATCAGGAACCTGTGGCACACATGTGTGGTGGAGTTCAGGTGCCCTGGCTGCAGGCGGCTTTCAGAGTAATCCTTACCGTGTGGACCCTTTGGGTGACAGTCTGCACAGGTGACTGCAGAAGAGTCACTGCCACACTGCAGCTGTAGGGCTGCAGAGGTCCCTGTTCTGGAGCTGTAGCTGTGCTGCCTTCTCCCCTGCACTGCAGGCTTCCACAGGGGCCAGGAGCTACAGCAGGGCCTCTTCCCCCTGAGCCTGTGCTGAGAGCGCCTACCTGGGACCTCACTTCAGACACAGTCAGTGAAATTGCTTAGTTTATCCCAGAGCCTGTATCCAAAGGACACTTTCAAAGTTGGGAGGCAATAATTTGGTGAGTGACTCTGATCCCTTGACCCATCTACTCGTGTGCTAATTCTTTGTTTATTATTGGAGATTCACAATGTATTTGAAGATCTGTTAATATTAGTCCTGTTCACTAATCTCCTTTAGGACTTACCTGGTTATTTTAGATCACTTTCACTTTCAGATAAGCTTGTCTAGAAAAACATACTCGCTTGCATGTGATACATTTCTGTATTTTCTAATCTTGAAGGGTATTTAATTATAAATTATCATGTTAAAATTCTTGAAGTTAACAACAACAAAGGAATAAAGAAGTGAATAAAGTAGAAAATAAGAGTTGGATGCCTTCCATTCCCACCCTCTGTGATAATATTTTTATATATCTCTATATGTCTTTATGGATGTATTATAATACAACAGTGCATACATTTTTTTTTTGTACTGGGGATCAAACTCATGACCTTGTGCTTACAAGGCAGGTGCTTATACCCCTAAGCTGAATCCTCAGCCCAGGGTGTACATTTTAAAATAAACTATTTGAACACTTTCTAATAGTTATTCCTGCAGCTCTAACTTAACCATGTCTTTTATTTTTCTTTATAGCCACCATTCCAGCCTGTGAGTCTTTGAGAACATTATAATGTCTCTTTGTGCCCCTTCTTGCAAGGAGTTCTCCCAGCTGCTACCTGTTCAAGACATGGATATCAAAAACTCACCGTCCAGCCTTCACTCCCCCTCCTCCTACAACTGCAGTCAATCTGTTCTCCCGCTGGAGCATGGCCCTCTGTACATCCCTTCCTCCTATGTAGACAATCGCCATGAATACTCGGCCGTGACATTCTATAGCCCTGCTGTAATGAATTACAGCATTCCCAGTGGGGTCAGTAACACAGAAGGTGTGCCTGGTCGACAGACCACAAGTCCCAGTATGTTATGGCCAGCTCCGGGGCACCTCTCTCCTCTAGCAATCCATTGCCAGTCGTCACTTCTGTACGCAGAGCCTCAAAAGAGCCCTTGGTGTGAAGCAAGATCACTAGAGCACACCTTGCCTATAAACAGGTAAATCCAGTCTTCATTCTGCTACAGCTCGAGGCTCGCTTTAGGATGTGTGTTGCACATGGTATATATTAATCATCTAGATTACTTTGAGCACCTAAAGCTTATGCTACCCTCATTAAAATGTTGTGCTTATATTTGGGTGTGGCAGGAAGAATTCACTAACATGACTACTGTCATTACACAGTAAATATTGAACTTCAACCAGTTTAATATTGACGAAGGTACTGTATTTGAGTATGAAAAATAAACTTTTTTCAGGTTAGAATTTTAGGCTGTGTGATGGCACATTCCTATAATCCAGCACTAGGGAGGATGAGGCAGGAGGGTCACTGTGAGTCTGAGGCCAGGCTGAACTACATAGCGAAACCCTGTCTCAAAAAACCAAAGCAATACAATTCTCCCCAAACAAACAAGCAAACAGAAAAACAGCCAGGTTAGAGTCTTACTGTGAAATCATAATTCAGGGTTCATGACAGGTTCTACGATAAAAATAATTGTAGCAGTATTAAAATTTAAATGAAAAACTAGCCACATGAAACCCAAAAAGATAACTGGTATAAGCTTTCAAAACAAGAAGCTAAACTAACTTTTCATGAAAATTGGTGAGAAACTATTTGATTATAGGCTTCCATTGAAATTTCCTGAAGTTAAAAAGAATACTTGAATACTTCTTTAAAATTTTTTTATTTTTTCATTCTGGGAATCAAACTTGGGATCTTGTACTTACCACGCAGGAACTGTGCCTCTGAGCTACGTCCCCAGCCCATATTTGAATACTTTAAATGCAAGGTAACATGATTGATAGATTATTTTAGTCCAATTGTTACAATCTTAATATCTGTGTCTGGAGGGGGAGATGAACTGAGATGACCAGTGGTGTACGTTAGAGCATATTGAGTATTAGAATTCATTACTTTCAAACTTTGTCATAAAACTGGGCAATTGGGCTGAATGGTAGAACCAGTGGTTGACATGCATGAATCCCTGAGTTCAATCCCCAGCACACAAAAACAAAGCAAAACTTTGAGAAAATAAGCCATAGATTAATTTTTCTTTTCTTTTTTGGTTTCTTGGACAAGGCCTTGGTTTGTAGCTCAGGCTGGCCTTGAACTTACTGTGTAACCGAGGGTGGCCTCAGACGTACTGCGGTCCTCCTGCCTCAGACTTGTGTGCCACCATGCCCATTAATTTTATTTTGTTAAAAAGCTTTACTTATGGTAAGATAAAAAATAAATATAAATATTGTAGATAATTTTTAAAGTAACGTTCGGCTAGTGGTAGACCAACTGTCTAGAACGTACAAGCCCTCGATTTGATCCCCAGCAGCACAAAATGAATGAAGGAAGGAAGGAAAGAAATAAGTATGTAAGTAAAAGTTTTAAAAATAAGTACAAGCAATGTTTTCAGCCAAGTATAGTGGCTCACACGTGTGATCCCAGCATTGTGAGAGTCTGAGGCAGGAAGATTATAAATTCAAACCCAGCGTGACCCTCTCTCAAAAATAAAAAATAAAAGGGCTGGGCCTGTAGCTCAGCATTCAGGTCCTGAATTCAATTCCTGGTGCTGTGGAAAATAAAAATGAGCAAATTAAGCTGTGGGAAAATTACATATTCATAGTTCAGTAATACCTCTGTCATTCCCTTTCCATAGGAAACATCTCCTCGCATGTTTCTGGGGACTGCCCGGGTGTGTTTCGGGGCCCCGTGGTGCTCTGGGCTCAGCTCTCCACTGCTCCCAGGAGCCTCTGGACCCCTCGTTCAGGGCCCTCTGGGACTTCCTCAGTGCAGGAGATGGGCACGAGGGCGCTTAACTCCTGAGCCACCAATCAGGCATTCCCCACAGCGTAGCTTTCTGCAGACCTGGTATCAGTCACAATGCTCTGCTCTGTCGTATTTCCTAAAATATATTAGTTAGAGCACTGAAGGGCAAAAAGATTAAGCTGGACTATGTTCATGCCATTTGTTTTGTGTCCCTTTTGTTTTGCCTCCCAGGGAGACGCTGAAAAGGAAGGTGAGTGCAGGCAGTTGTGCCAGCCCAGCTGCCAGCCCCGCTTCTAAGAGGGATGCTCACTTCTGCGCAGTCTGCAGCGATTATGCGTCTGGGTATCACTATGGAGTCTGGTCATGTGAAGGATGTAAGGCCTTTTTTAAAAGAAGCATTCAAGGTACAAGAGCTGCTTTCATTCAAGTTAAGCATTTTGTGATTTCATTTCAAGTTAAACTGCATCTTTAGTTGTCCACTTTTGCTTTCAACAGTTTAGCAGAGATGACCCGGCAGAGATTTTACCACTGACCTAATTTGGTGCATATTGTATATCTGACAGATAGTCAGAGGAGCACGTGTTTGGCGTGCTGGACTGTCTCAAGTGTAGAGCGTTAATTGCATGTTTCTACCCCCAAACCTGAAGACTATAGGGCCAGGTCACCTTTGCCCACTAGGATTTGGGGAGAAGATGTCTGGTTCCAATCTGAGGAAGGTACCACTTAGAAAAAATATATACTTGTTAGGAGTTGCAAAGGTTATTTCTTCATTTGACTTAAGTTTAATGTAGGGCATGCTTCCTAGTCATGATGGCTCCTAATTGTGCTGGCTCCTCAGAGAAAGAAAATTACTACATTCTATGGAGATGGTCATAAATCAGGAATTGAACTGCAGGGAACTTTGAGAAACCATCTAGACATATCTCCCCGTGAAAATGTGTTTGTTTTCTGATCTGGGATTAGACGTTTTCCCAGCCTCCAAATTCCTTCTGGGCTAAAGTTTATTTCTTTATTTTTTAAAATCACCTCCCGAATCAGCTTCAGTTCATCTGTTCAAGGCCAGTCTGCCCAGCTCCTGCCACCTCTTCCTCTCATGCCAGTCCTTACGCCACTTTCTTGTTGGTTTGTGCACTTCTCTGTCTCTCTCATAACTTCTCCCTCATAACCCTCTCTCAGGCGATGCCCTGTTTCTGTCTGCTGCCTTCTCTGTTCTGCCAGGGCCTGAGACCCTTGTTCTTAACCAGTTAAAAACGGCCACCTTACGGGAGTTTATAGCATGCAAATAGCAAGTAGCTTGTTATGGTTTGTGTTCAGATGGCCCCCCAAGCCTCATGCAGTGATGGACATGGCTGAGTCCATGTGATTGGTTTGTTGTCTGGAGCTGGGATTGGTGCTTTGAGGGCTGCATCTGCCCAGGGGTGGAGCTGGCATACAGTGTAAGAGTGGGAAGGTGTGTCTTTCCTGTCTTGCTCTGTTTGCTCTTGCTGTTTGTGTGGCCATGAACGGCTGCTCCACCATGTCATCCTCCCTTGGAGCCAGCTGCGTATGGACTGAAACCTCCAAGAACTGAGAAATAAATCTTTTCTTCCTTCATGTTGGGCATCAGGTATTTTGTCTCAACAAAGAGAGAAAAGTAACCATGATGTAGCTATCTGATCATTGTAACAGTAGATCAGAAGGCCAGGTCCAGTTCCCTGCCTGTACACTGGAACAATTCAGATTTTCTGAGATTCAGAACTGAATTCTCGATGTGCTTCTTGAGCTCTTCATCTTGCTGAGGTTTCAGACTTTCACCTTTTAAGGAAATTTTGACCTGCCAAGATTGACTGTATCTTTATTTTTTTTAGTGTCTTTAAATGAGGCTCTTTTTTCTTGCTATAGTAGTCATCTGGCTTCCTAAAATATCTCTGAGCCTTGAGACTATAGCTGATAACAGTTGAAACTTAGTTTTCCTGATGTTATTCGTTCCTACTGTATTAGTCAGGAATGTAAAATTCTTTTTTTCAGTATTCCTCATGGAGAGCTGGCACCTGTGCTTTACCCATTTTAATTATTTTTTTTGTAATCCTCTCCTTTTCCCTTTACTACCTCTTGTTCTCCTTCCCTTTTGCAAAAGATCTGTCTCCCTGTTCCCTGTTACCTTTTAGTTTGCTCTTTATTACTATTTTGTATTTCTCATATAAGAGAAACTGTAATATTTAAGCTATGTATCTCATTTGTCTCAGTAACATTATGGTCTCCAGGTACATCCATTTACCTACAAATACTCAAGATTATCCTCCTTTACAGCAGAGTAGTACTCCATAGTGTTGCTCTGTACCACATTGGGTGTGCTGGTGTGTGCCTGTAATCCCAGCACTTGGGAGGCTCAGGCAGGAGGATTGTTGTGAGTTCGAGACCTGGGCTGCAAAGTGAGCTCAAGGCCAGCCTGAATTGCATAGTGAGACCCTGTCTCAAAAAGACTAAATAAATAAATAGAAAGTGTTACCTGTTCACCTGATGATGGACACACAGGCCGCCTCCAAGTTTTAGCTGTTAAGAATTGCACTGCTGGCCAGGTGTGGTAGTGCATGCCTATAATCCCGTACTCAGGAAGCAGAGACAGGAGAATCATTGCAAGTTTGAGACCAGCCTGGGCTACACAGTGAGCTCAAGGCCAGCCTGAACTACATAGCAAGACCGTGTCTCAAAAAGTGCCCCCTCCCAATTGCACTGCTGTAAACATGGGTATCCAGACATCACTTTGGTATGGTGACTTTAACTCCTTTCAGGAAGATACCTAGGAAGGGAATAGTTGAGTTGAATGGAATTTCTAGTTTTAAGTTTTATGAGGTATCTCCATACTGATTTCTATAACAGTTGTACTAGTTTGCAAGAGTATCAAATTCTGAATCTGCAAAAATGTAAAAAGTTTAATGTACCTACAGTTGTTTAATGCCTACATGATCTTTTCTTTAGGTTTTTTATATTTTTGATATAAATGTTGTAATAATTGAAAATGGGCCACCCCATTCCATTGATTTTTTGCTTATTTCTTCAGTGTGGTGACCCATTCCAGGGCCTTTTCCCACTGAGCTGCATCCCTGGTTCCTTTCACTTTTTTTCTTTTGAAACAGGTTCTTGCTGAGTTGCTCAGGCAGAGCTCGAACTTGCACTCTTCCTACCTCCGTCTCCCTGAGGGCGTGTTCACCGTGCTCAGTGCCCCTCAGTTCTTTATTTTATTTTAATTGTTTGAAAAAATAAAACAAAAATTCATGACAAAATTAGATATTAATTAGTTTACATACTGTGTCATCTTCAAGGTAGGTTCTCAGACAAAAAAGACTCTCTTACTAAGAAGAAACAGGTAATAGCACAAAACTTTTCAATGAGCTAGAGAACTAGTAGTATAAATGAAACAAATTAGCATGTACCTTAAAACATTGTTGAAACAGCAAATAGATAATTTGGGGAATTATTTGAACTTCTCCCCATTTTCTGTTTACCTAGCTTCTATTTATCATTTTATTTGTGCATGTGTATATATGGTGTGTGTGTATATATATATGTATATGTGTATATGTGTGTATATATATATATAATTTCTTATATAAGAGAAACCATGTGATGTTTGAGCTTATATGTCTGACTTATTTCATTTAACATTATGCTCTCAAGTTGGATCCATTTGCCTACAAACATCTCAAGTGTATCTTTCTTAATGGCAGAGTACAGTGGTGCCTTGGTTCACAGACTTGATTCCATGATTCTGGAACACACTGAGTTGTGGGAGACTTGAATAAAATGCAGTGGTTAGGTTCCTTATGGGGAAATTTGATTTGGTTCTTGTCCACTTTGGTTGATGACTAGAGTCATGGAGTGAATTGAGTTTGTGAACTGAGGAACCACTGTGGTACCTTATTATGTATAAATACCACACTTTGCTTATTCATCTATTGATGGGCAAACATGTTTCCAAGTTCTAGCTATTGTGAATTGTGTTGCATGCATCTCTGTAATGTGATTTTAATTCTCTAGGGTCTGTTCCTAGGAAGAAGATAGCTAGGTCAAGTGGAATTTCTAGTTTTACTTTTTTTGAGGAACTTCCCTACTGAATTTCATAGTGGTTGTACTAGTTTACATTACCACCGACAATGTGGAAGGATCCTTTCTCCCACATCCTCACCAGCATTCCTTATTATTAGAACTTTCGATGATAGCTGTTCTTTCTGGGTTAAAATGGTATCTCAATGTAGTTTTAATTTGCATTTCTCTACTGGCTGGCAATATTAAACATTTTTCATGCATTTGTTGGCCATTTGTGCTTCTGAGAATTATCTCTTCATTTTGGCTGCCCAGTTCTTAATTGCGTCTTTCATTTTGGGGGCCTAATTTGTTTTATCTTCGTTTTGAAACAGGATTTTGCTGTGTAGTCTGCACTTGCCTTGAACTCGCTATAGAGCCCAGCCTGGCCTCAAATTTGTGGCAATCCTCTTGCCTCAGCCTCTTAAGTTCTGGGGTCACAGGCATGTACCACCATGCCCAGCTGGGGGAGTTGTTTTGGTTTGTTTGTTTGTTTTGTAGTTGTTTATATATTCTAAATGTTAGTCTTCTGTATGAAAAATAGCTGTCAGTTTTTTCTCTTATTCTGTAGGTTGTCTCTTCACTGTGGCTGTTCCTGTGCTATTTGTTTCTTCTTGGGACTGTTTTCTAAAGTCCTTGCTTATGCCTATGTCTTCAAAGGTTGTATCTTTTTTTATTTTCCAGGAGATTAAATGTTTTTATTTGAACACTTAGCTCTTTGATCCCTTTTGATTTGATTTCACACATGGTGAGAGATGTATGGGTCTACACTGAATCTTCTGTATGCGCAGATGCAACTTTCCCAGCACCATTTATTAAAGAGGCTACATCCTCAGTCCTTTAGCATGGTCTCACATAGGCCAGGGTGGTATACTTTGATGTTGGAAATTGACTGCATTTATCATTTATTTGCTTTTAAAGGTTCATAATTTATAACTTTACATTTGTTTGCCAACTAGAGCTGTAAACCGTTTGACCATGCCTGATAGAAATTTTTGTCCCCTTCATGGCACAAGTGCACTGGCAGCTAGGTGGTGTGGGGCACAGCAGTGACACAGCCTTTGCTGGGGTCCCCTCACAGAGAGCTGCCTTCAGAGTGGCAGCCGTGCTTTTTCTCCTCTGGACTGTGAATCACAGGACGGGGACACGGGAAAGGCTCCTCGTCACTTCCGGTCTGGATGAAGGCATGGCTTAATTTTTAAAGCTCCATCTTTTACTTTTTTTCCTGTTTGCTGTTGAAATTCATTTAATAAACATTGATCGAGCACAGTACTAGGCTCTAGACTACAGTGGGGGACAAGACAGTAAGTTGTGCATTTTGGTCACTGCTGGCATGCCAGCA